CTATAAATACAACACAAAATGCAGTTGAAATGGCTTAGGTAGCAAAGGCGCAAGTTAGAAAACATACTTGAAGATGCAACTATGGTAGTAAAAATCTCAATGTGTGGTAGTTTTGCTCTGAATTAGATCTTCTGAGACACCTATTATCTGTCTTCACCTTTGTCTTAGTTCTTGGCTTCATTTGTCGTATAACAACTAGTGCACCAGTCCTGCAGTTAGCATTTCAGATCACAATTTGACATCAGTTTCAAGAAATAGAAAATAATTGTCTTGTTTGTCATCCTTGGCAGGTGGAAGAGGGATAGCAGTGGCAATAAAATAGCTCACCCAGTTACTGGAAAAAATGTCCTGCAATTTGTAGCTATCAAGAGGAGAGATTGTGGGGAATGGGCCATTCCAGGGGTAAGGACAAAAACACTGGAACCGTTGACTTCTCTTATAAGCTATGAGAATGTAATTGGTCTGTATGTGATAACATAGTCTTTTATGAAGGACATCGTGTTACAGAAATGATTGGAAATATTGTGTAAACTCTCATACTTAGCGAAAGCATCCATTACATTTCCTAGTATTCCTTGATCACCTGTTTTTTGCCTATTTTTGCCATATTTTGTTTAAGGTCGGTATGGTCTCATCCATTGCAGTTTGAGAGTCATGTATGTGCTTGTTCTTGACCAATAAGTTTTGATTCTTGGCTGTAATATATGAAATGCAAGTCAAAAGGAGTGATAGATGCACTCTTCTTTACCCTTTCTTTTAAGGGAATGGTAGATCCAGGAGAGAAGATTAGCGCTACACTTAAGCGAGAATTTGGAGAAGAGGCCCTGAATTCCTTACGGAAATCACCTAAAGAAAAAGAAGAGCTAGAAAAGCAACTACACAGACTATTCGGCCAGGAACCCTTTGTGGTAAGCTTTTTGTCTCTTGTGATTGCATTGGGAGCTATCCATGTGACCTTCTGCTATTAATAGGTTGGAAAAAATATGGCTCTAGCTAAAAGAATAAGCTGTGATGCTCAAGTTTTGATATGGAAAACGGAAGGGAATACTGAAAGTTTTATTTGGGCTGCTCTGGGGAAAAAGCATTTTAATTCTCCTTCCTCACTTGATGTTGTGACGTTGAGGTGGTTGTTTGTTTACTATCTAGGTGTACAGAGGATACGTGGATGACCCTCGTAACACTGATAATGCTTGGATGGAGACAGAAGCTGTGAACTATCATGATGAATCTGGTGAGTATTTTCAAGTATACATTTAATTGCTGTCATGTAAATTTCGTTTTGAAACTGCAACCTATGTTAGCCTGGGATTGCCAGTAGAAGAGGAGTAATGGGCAAGTTAAAGGTGAATTTGAGGAAGGAAAATGGGTGTGAGGAACTCTTCTGCTGAGATACACGATCCTGACAGGTGCTTGTTACCATTCCTTTTCCCTGCCCTGAAATAGGGTAAACACTTGCATGAGAATTATCCATGGGAGAATTGGCGTGATTTATTTTTCTACAAGGTACCTGTAAATCATTAATCATGTGCCTTTTTATGGAGATAA